TAGTACCCGTTTCCTAGCAACTGTATTACTTACTTGATGGTCCCAGGATATACGAGCAATGTTTCGAAGACATCTATGGTCGAATAATAGTAACCTACGAATATCCTCTACTCTTACCGGCGATGTTTCACTGCCATAAACTAGGACAAAACAAACTGCTGTGCAGCAAACACGTCCTTTGGTTGATAGACGGATATCTCACCTACGCCACAAATGATGCAAGTTGGCGAAAGCTAGTCGAGCCTTCTGTATGATTGCTGAGGTTTCGTCACACACCAAACCACAAGAGCTGACGAGACTTCCAAGATAAGTGGAGCGGCCGAAACGCTCAACTACTTCACTCCCTATCATTAGTTCGGGTGTCGATGCCGCACAATCCCGAAGTAACATTTTGCATTTCGATGGGGAGAATAGCATCCCGAACATGCTTGCATTGTTGCTTAGACTGGTCAGCAGACTCTACATTTTTTGATGGAGTTTTGTTCGCTGAGCTGGAAGTGAATAATGACAAGTTTAAGGTCAACAAGAAGCAATCAACATCGAGGTCTACAGGGCAAGCTGTGAACCAAATATGGAGAAATTCGAACACTTCACCTTTATCTGAAGTTTGTGCTGATGATGTCGTTCAGAAGAACGAGTAGAGAGCCTGTATAAGGTTAATGTACTTCTTTGGTACTCATTTCAGTGACAAACACTGCCGTAGAACCTCACGATCAATCGAGTCAAATGCCGCCTTAAGGTCGAGAAATACTTCGATTGTGAGGCGTCTGAATGTATGTCTATCTTCTAGGACCTGACGTAGTGTGAACATCTGGTCTATACAGCCACGCCTAGGTCGAAAACCAGCCTGGTTTACTCCATTCTGCTCTTCATAAGCTTTGGTTAGGCGTCGAAAAATTATTGAAGCTAATATTTTAGACACTATATTAGTCAAACTGACTCCTCTGTGATTGTCACAAGAGGACGTTTGGCCTTTCTTATAGACTGGCACAATCAGTGATTGAAACCAGTCAGATGGGATTACGTCCAGTTCCCAGATTCTACCTAAGACCTCAGTCAGTCTCACAGCTAATATTGGACAGCCATCCTTAAGAATCTCAGGGGTAATCCTGTCAGGGCCTGCTGCTCTCTCACGCTTCAGATTTCCTATAGCTTTTTCAACTTTGTAAATAGTTGAAGGGTTTACATTAGCTTGTCATCCAGGTCAACTGGAGATCGTGGGAAACCGAAGTGTGGCTGGAAGCCAGTTGAACTGATCCCTAAAGTGTTCTGCCCGTCGATCCAATCTCCTGGATTGAGAATGAATAATATGTCCATCTTTTTCGGAGATAGTTTCGCTAACAGTTGGGTTCCTAATCCCGGTTTCATTAACAAGTCTGAACGGTTGTCTGTTGTTGCCTATTGCCGCTGCCTTTTCCATCTCTCTTGCTTTCGCTACCCACCACTGTTTGGGATCATTGCGTAGGCTTCTTATCGGCCTGCGCTTAAGCTGACTCCGCTCTTCGTTATGTTCAGAGCCAGATGAAATGAGTCTTCGAGCATTTATCAGTGCGGTAGACGCTGCTGAGATCCAGTGTTTCTCCCTAACCTTATGGTTTACCGTACTTGCAGATATCACTGCTGTTTCTACAGCTTTTTGGGTGTCATTCCACGCTGCCTCATGGTGGGCATCACATACATGGCTGCCTAACTGTTTTTCTAGTTGTTCCTGAAATATACTCTTAGCTTGACTATCATTAAGTAGGACCCTAAGAGGTTTCCTTGCAGAGTCTTTCCTACGTCCATTAAGACGTAGACAAATACGCGCTCGCACTAGAGCATGATCTGAGTCTGAGCATGTGCTCTAGAATGAGCGACAGTCTTCTATCGAGCGCCGCCATCGTTGGCTGATAGCGATGTGATCTATTTGGGTTCAAGGTTGGGACGAATTAGGGGGCCGCCAAGTCAAAAGTTGTTTTTCCTTATGCTTTAAGTTAGTGTTTGCAAGAAAGAGGCCGTTATCTGAACATAGCTGCAACAGACGGTCGCCATTATCTGTTCTTTGAGCCGCGACACCATAAGATCCACACAGGTGTTTCTCCTTTTCGCCTAGTTTACTTAGTTGAGCATTGAAGTGACCGACCAGTATTACTACATCAGAGCGCCCAACGTTTTGAAGGAGGTCAGAAAACTTTCTGTAAAACTCACCTTTTACCTCACCTGAGCTTCAGTCAGTGGGAGAGTAGGCAGAGACATCGAAGAGGCAACAACGAGTGTCGCTATCCTTCCCAGTCCTTACTGTTCCGTTTAGTCGAACAGCACACAAGCGACTGTCTACTGGGATCCAGTCTAAGAGAGCTAGTTCTGCTCTAGGACTCATTGCTATACCCACACCAGCGAGGTCACGGGAAGCAGCATCAGGGCTTCCAGATACACGAAGCGTAAATCGAGTTGGTTCGTTATTTTGACATGGTGAGGTCAAATGAATGACACTATTCAGATCCTGTATGCCCGTTTCGGAGACGCAACACACACCGATGGAGAGAGATTTTAAAGTCCTAGCTAAAGAAGCCTGTTGTTCTACTTGGCACAATGTTCGGACGTTGAAAGCTCCTACGTGTAGTTTAGAGCGTATTATTATTATTATTTTAACACATAAATATCGGTACAAGAAGGCACCAAATACATATGCGCCACACAGATCTCATTTGATATGTGTGAGGGCTGTGATACTGCTCGGGTGCCCAAACCGAAGCAGGTGGTTTTCTTAGGGGGCCACACCCGAGCCTTCGACCTAAATGTCTGACTCACAAGGCAGTGGAGCATCGTAAGGAGATGCAGTCCCATGGTAGCCGGTGATCAACGATTGGTTCATACGCCATTTGTTCCCGCAGGATACTAGAACCCATGTGCACCATTGATTTGGGATCCGGTTATAGCGCCAGAAATTCGCTTTTCGTCCTCTCATTTTTGTAAACAACACCCCCGCCACGAGAAGGCAGTGAGTAGGACTTCCCTGGCAGAGGCTGTATACGCGTGGCCATATGAGAGCATTTCGAGAGGGGGAGCGGACTCCCCCCACTCTCGGCCGTACCAGGGCATTTGGGGGCAGTTTAGAGCGTAGCTGCTACTTTGACGTGGTGGTCGAGCTTGCCTATCGTGATGACTCAACTGAGCTATATTGGCTGGAACATATGTTCCTGTAGGTTCTACCATGCCAGGCTGGTCGATTGGAGAACGGTAAGACTAAAAGCAGCAACTCAAGGTCTGACGGCAAAGTTGTACTGCTGATTGTACAGAGGTGTGACGGCAATAAGGTGCTTCCTTCAGACAACCAGAATGACAGCGATGATGCCTTCTCAGAAGGAAGGAAGGGGTTAGAAAAGGTTGACCCTAAAAATGTCACCTCATCTTACCTCATGGATTTCCGTCTCCGGCGGTAAGGCCCTTTGAAGAACGGAGCTAACACATTAAAAACCTCCCACAAAAACGCCGTGCGCGACCGTCCTCAAGCATTTGTCCCTTGGGCTCTGCGGCCACGCTCCCAGGTCTTTAAGACCAACACTAATCCGATCTCTTTTTCGGGTTCCTCAAGAAATACCCTTCCACAGTGTGAGTAGCCAGGAAGTGATATCAGCCCTCATACCTGTAACAGCACGCGAGACCAGGTCGGTCACATTCAAATTCTTCCTACACCTAATACCTCTTATCTCCACAACGAACCCTTCTCCCTCTGACAAGGTACAATCAAGAATTCGAATTTGAAGTAGGCAAAATGAAATTGTATCGTATCATAATGTCACATTACAACACAACTGCTTAGAAGTCCCACACTATGACTAAATAGCCGTCCTGAGGTTCCACGTTTTCAATTATAGTCTAGCCGTAATCGGCTCATAATTTCAATGAAATGCAACAATCTCCTCAACGTCAATTTGAAAACCTCATGAAATGTTTAGTTGTACAGTAACTGCATTAATTATTGGCCAAATGTTTGTAATAGATTCAGAAGATTAAATACGGTCCTTTTAATTAAAGATATTAAGTATACTGAACGAATTCCAATGACTGTAACCCTTTATTCTAGGTCGGATTTTCTCATATGCAGTTGAAAATACCAAGTTTTCATTCTCACTACTTCGTTTGATACTTTTTCATAAAATACACTTGTTCCGTTTTTGTTCAGTGCTTAATTAACGATTCCCTGGGTTTACACTTCATTTTCTTGTATGATTATCATAAAACGAGCATAATCAAGTAATAGAGATTTGTATATCCACAGATTTGAACAGTTTTCTACATGGATCTAAAAACAGCACAATTTGTTTACAGATTTCCTGTTAACTGCTGCATTGGTCATTTATTACTTGAGTTCACTTTTGTCCAATGCTTAGTTCGTTGTTTCCTAGAGGATTTTAGTTCTGACATCTGATTTACTTACTATTTGCAATGCAAAAATTAGTAATAGAAAATAAGAATCTTTTGGTTTTCAATTGTTTGTATTCTAGTTAGATATCCATTCAGTAGTGTTTCCTATTGGGGTGCTAAATACTGCAACTTCTAGTCTGAGATTTGTGTTGATGATGAAACGCAGTATTAGGGTTTAAAAAGCTAAACTTTTGGTGTGAACATATACTTTTCATCGTTTGTATTTGCTAAGAGTGTCATATCTTTAAAAACTACATACTGCTTATCAACCACTAGTTCCTTTAATCTGCTAACTGTTGGCTCTATGTACATGGTCCTTGTATATATATTTATGTGCATGTGGTTTAACCAGTCTCCTTTAGTCTATACCAAACAGATCTTCCTTAGGAAACCTATCTTCTTGAGTAATCGGGGATGAAGGATACGTGCTGTATGCACTTGTCGAAATCGAAACTGGTTATCGTTATTGGTTCAAAACACATCAGTAATATCCAGTACTGACCATATCATGGTTTTTTCTTTTAATTCTACATAATTTGCCAAAACATTTTTTTCTTATTTCTTCAACGTTTTTATTTTATTCCACTTGACAGTCAAAATATCTAGAGAAGAAGCCAATTTGTGCAATGCATTTACAAAATGCATACGTCACGATTCTGGGTACAATGGTTTCTATCTACAACCGATGCACGAATGTAGCTCCGTAAGTATTTCAATACCAATAATATGTCTTGTATTCGAGCAACATGACACCATATTTGGCTTACCTAGCTGAAAGGAAACCAAGACGAATAGTAGGACAAATTTACTATTCATATTCATTGCTAACTTGTTCTCTCCAGTTATTTGAATTTTTATACATCGATTGATCAGCCTCAATCAGGGATGACGAGCAACATTCTAACTAAACATGATTTCACGGATAGTCCCCCAATACTTGTTAAGTATGTTGCGTCGTAAAAAAGATTAATGTTGGGTGTAATTTGTAAAGTTTACAAGCGTTGTTACTTATAGATGGATGGAAGCTGAAGTTTTTTTTCTATAAACTTATTAGAGGTATGACTATCATTCTTTTCACCCTAAGGATGTCCGGCGCTTTAACCGGATCCCAAACCAATGGTGCACATGGGCTCCAGTATCCTGAAGGAACAAATGACGTGTGAACCAATCGTTGGTCACCGGCTACCATGGGACTGCATCTCCTTACGATGCTCCACTGCCTTGTGAGTCAGACATTTAGGTCGAAGGCTCGGGGTGTGGCCCCCTAAGAAAACCACCTGCTTCGGTTTGGGCACCCGAGCAGTATCACAGCCCTCACACTTATCAAATGAGATATGTGTGGCGCATATGTATTTGGTGCCTCCTTGTACCAATATCTATGTGTTCAAGTAATGTCTGAAATCCGTTGTCGGTCGACACTATCTTGAAATCATAACACATCAGTATATTTTTCCATCGTTCCAAACGGTTTGCTGTATAAACAAGGATGCTCTTTCTAGATCCAAAAACTGCCAGTAGAGGTTTGTGATCTTTTAGCAACGTAAACTGTCTGCCGAGTAACATCTTGTGAAGCGTCTTCTCCATCTGACTATAGTTCCTTCCTGTCGTTGTCAGTAATCATTCAGCATGGGCAACCGCTATCTTTGATCCATCTAAGTAGATATGTGAAATAACTGCTTCAATTTCATAATTTAACTCATCTGCTGCGATCACAATGGTAAGGGCTTGGCCATAATGCTTAAGTAAAAGGTTTGATGCTAGGAGTTGTTTTAGTTTTAGGAATGATTGACCTTCTGTTGATCTGATCCATTTGATATTCTTTGTTAGTGAAAAATTCAGCGGGGCACGCAGACGATGCAGGTCTGGAAAAAACACTATAATAGTTAACCCCCAAATGCCCTGGTATGGCCGAGAGTGGGGTGGGTTCGCCCTCCCTCTAGAAATACTCTCACACGGCCACGCGTATACAGCCTCTGCCAGGGAAGTCCTACTCACTGCCTTCTCGTAGCGGGGGTATTGTTTACAAAAATGAGAGGACGAAAAGCGAATTTCCGGCGCTATAACCGGATCCCAAATCAATGGTGCACATGGGTTCCAGTATCCTGCGGGAACAAATGGCGTATGAACCAATTTTTGGTCACCGGCTTCCATGGGACTGCATCTCCTTACGATGCTCCACTGCCTTGTGAACTAGACCTTCAGGTCAAAGGCTCGGGGTGTGGCTCCCTAAGAAAGCCACCTGCTTCGGTCTGGGCACCCGTGCAGTATCCCAGCCCACGCACTAAAACATGATGAACTATTTACTTATGGAAAATATTCTTTTAGCTCCGATTTACAATGAATTGACTCGCACTATTATTATTATTATTATTTTACCACGTCATTTATTCACTCTCTCTTATTCCCACTTTATGTATCCGTTTCGACTTAGACAGCAGCTCGCCTATGGTGAAAATTCGGCTCTATCTAAACGTTCTCGAGTCACTGCCTGGTTGAAAATTGTATGTTACCACCGAATACGAGTACTGAAGCAGTTTTTCTGAAACCACGTACACCATTCAAACTGGCTGCCTTCAACGTTCGCACACTTATGCAGGTCGGACAACAGATAGGGCTGGCTATGTCTTTGGAAAGTCTTAATATTGACGTATATTGTCTATCCGAGACTCGTATTCAAGACTCTGGTGAAGTACTACAAGTTCGCTCTCCATCTGTCGCTTCAAAAAGCTTGTTTTACATGCGTTTATCCGGGGACCCTGTGGCACCTTCGTCTGGTCTTGCTGTCGTTGGTGTCGCACTAAGCGCTAGAGCTGAGGCAGCACTAACCGACTGGATCCCCATTAACAGTCGGTTATGTGCTGTTAGATTAGAAAGTTCCATCAAAGTGAGAAGAAAGTGGCGTGAGAAACTATATCTTTTCGTCATCTCCGCCTATGCCCCGACAGATTGCAGCGCGGATGCAATCAAGGGTGAGTTCTATCACCAGTTAACTGTTCTCCAGAAAGTGCGTTCGACAGATATTGTAGTACTAGCCGGAGACTTGAATGCTCAGGTCGGGCGTCTAGGCACAGAAGAGAGTCGTTTAGGTGGCCGATGGGGACTCGTTGGTCTCAGGACAGATAACGGGGAATGTCTATTGCAACTATGCACAAACAACGACCTGTTTCTGGCTAGCACTAACTTTCGGCACAGTCATCGCCGATGTGCCACCTGGCGTCCTCCTTCTGCATCTCTAGCCTGGACTCAGATTGATCACATCGCGATCAGCTACCGCTGGCGTGGTTGTGTACAAGACTGCCACTTCTTTTAGAGTATTTATCTGGACTCTTATCATGCCCTGGTCTGCGCCAATCTTACCTTACTTTTCAGTGGACAACGAAATGACCGCCACCAAAGGATTGATGTTAGCAAGCTGGTTGCAACTTCTGTTGCCAGAAAGTACCAAACCGAGCTAGCTTCTATGTTAGCTACCATTCCACCGAAAAGTATAGATGAGCATTGGTTGCAATTGCATGACGCCATGAAAACGGCGGGTACAGTCTGTTGTGGGTTCGCGAAACGTCCCGCTTACAAGCGCTGGGTTTCTTCTGGTTCCTTACAACTGATTGAAGCCCGTCGGTCTACTCCGGGTGACCGTGAGTTTGACCACAGACGAAGGATGTTACGTAATGAAATCGGACAAAGCTTGCGTAAGGACCGAGAAGCCTGGTGGTCGGAGCGTGCCAGTGAGTTGGAAGCAGCAGCTGCATCTGGTAATTACCGGAAGCTCTTCCAACTCATCCGAGCCACTGGCAGCAAGAAGTCTGGTGTGAGCGAAACAACCTGCGAAGATGACGGAACGCCAATCACTAACATCCATCGACGTCTTGGACGATGAGCAGAATTCTTCGAAGGGCAGTTCAACTGGCCTGCTGTTCCGGCAACATCGGTCAGACTGTCCTACCCTACTTGGGCTGTGGTGACTGATCCACCAAATGAGGCGGAAGTCCGCAAGGAACTCCAACTCTTGAAACGTTACAAATCACCGGGCTCAGATGACTTACCTCTTTTTAAAGATGGTGGTGACTTTTTGACTAAGGGACTGACGACGTTGTTTACAAAGGTCTGGGAACTAGAGAGTGTACCGACGTCATGGAATGAGTCGATAGTTGTCCCTATCTTTAAAAAGGGTTCACGTCGTTCCTGTAACAACTATTGGGGGATAAGTCTACTTCCGATTGCGTCCAAGCTATTGGCTTCCATTATACTTCGTAGGTTGTTCAAAACCCGAGAAGGATTGACTTGCGAGGAGCAGGCTGGGTTTCGTTCCGGTCGAGGATGTATTGATCATATCTTCACCTTCCGCCAAATGTTAGAACACCGTCATACTTATTAAAGGCCAACAATCGTAGTGTTTCTTGACATCAGGGCTGCCTTCGATTTGTTGAACAGAACTGTTCTCTGGGATTGTCTATTGAAGAAGGGTGTGCCTGAGAAGTTTATTAAAGTCCTAAAAGCCCTATACACAAACACCTCAGGCAGAGTGAGGGCATACAACCACCTTTCTCCATTATTCCATTCGAGCAGTGGGGTTAGGCAGGGTTGCCCAATCTCACCATTCCTCTTCAACTTTGCCATCGACGATATTCTGGAAACAGCTCTGATGGATGTAAGTAATGGCGGTGTGGATCTGTTGCCTGGAGAAAGACTTCTCGACCTTGAGTATGCGGATGATATTGTCTTACTGTGCGAGAATGCCCAAGCTATGCAATCCGCACTTAATCAGTTGGCAATCAATGTCCGTAGGTATGGTATGTGCTTTGCACCTTCGCAGTGCAAAGTTTTTCTACAAGACTGGCAGGATTCTAATCCTGTACTCACTCTGGATGGTGAGCAGATTGAAGTAGTCGAGAAGTTCGTGTATCTAGGTAGCTGCATAAGTGCTGGTGGTGGTGTGAGTGATTTGATCAATGCACGTATAGTGAAAACCAGTGCGGCTTATGCCAATCTGGGCCATCTTTGGCGCCTTCGTGATGTTAGTCTGGCTGTAAAAGGTCGGATCTACAACGCGACGGTGAGAGCAGTTTTGCTCTATGCTTGTGAAACCTGGCCTCTCCGAGCTGAGGATGTTAGACGACTCTCTGTGTTCGATCATCGTTGTCTCCGAAGGATTGCTGACATTCAGTGGCAACACCATGTTAGTAATGCAGAGGTTCGGCATCGTGTGTTCGGGCACAGAGACGATAATGCAATTGGTGTCACCATCTTGAAACACCGACTTCGGTGGCTTGGACATGTTCTACGAATGTCGTCCCAGAGAATTCCACGTCGTGCATTATTTGCCGACTCTGGGACTGGTTGGAAAAAGCGGAGAGGTGGTCAGTGTATGACATGGTGTCGTGGTATGAAAGAAAGCTGCAAAGGGCTGGCTTGTGTTGGTCCTTCACGACTCCCTGGCTGGGGTCCGAGAGATGGTGCAACACAGTGGCTAGAGACGTCATCAGATATGGCTCGGAATAGAAGCCAATGGCGATCCTGCTGTAACCTTCTTTTACTTTCTTCATAAAAAGTGGTTGCTTCTTCCTTAACTGAAAGATTTCTTCGGATTGTACCTTTCCGTTGTTTTCTCTCTCTCCCTCTTTTTTTTAAAATTCCCCACGTTCACTACTTTTTTTTCTCTCCTTCTCTTCAAATTATCATTGTTTTGTGTGGCGCATATATATTTGGTGCCCCCTTGTACCAATATTTATGTGTTTAAATAAATAAGTAAAATAATAAAAGGAACGTAAAGTTAATACACCTGTCAGTGGATGCATGGTTTTGATCGCCTCGATATTTTCTAGATCAGGTTTTCTTACATTTTTATCGACTAAGAATCTCAGATAGCTCACTTGCTCCATGTAAAAATCACATTTCTCAGCACGTTATCTGAAAACATAATCTTCTATGTCTCTGAAAACCATATCCATCTTCCCTAAGTCAACATAGTACGAAACCCATGATAAGTATATCATCCAGATAGGCCGCAGTACCAGGAATATCTTGCTGCAGCATAGTGTCCATAACTTGTTCGAAGATTGAAGGGACTGTCTTTATCCCAAAAGGAAGTCTGTTATACAGCAATGCTAAATGTGAATTTGAAATAGTTTGACGAATTAATTTTAATCCCAAATAGACTAGAACTCTGACAAGGTCAGTCAGTCAGTAACAACGTGGAACTTCTTACCTACGTACATCAGTTCGAGTTGCCATACCACATTAGCACACAGGTACAATTGTTGATTCAAATCACATAGTTGTAGAGGTAGTGAAAGTATAAGTTGTAATCGAAAACATTAGGGTTTGAAGATGTTATTCAGGGAGTATAATCCAGTGAAATGAATTTGGAAAGAGGGAATAAGGGACATGAAAAATTCAGAAGATTAGAATTCGGGAGAACACAAAGAGTGGATGCACCTGTGCCATTGCAAACGAATTTGAACAATGTCATTCAGGGTCTCTAACCATCGGTTTCTATCATCTCGCGGATCCCAACAGTGTAGTCTACACCTACCAACATGGCTCAATCTACTTGTCAGTGACTTCATAGATTTGTGCCATGCTTTGGTCTGGCCGCCCCTAGCTTTCTTCCAACCTACTCCTACACCATAAAACATCGCACATCGGGGCAGTCGGTGGCCGGGCATACGTAACACGTGTCCCAGCCATCTCAACTGATGAAGTTTTACTACTTCATCAATTGGTTCCCATCCTTACCTAGTACCCGTTTCCTAACAACTGTATTACTTACTCGATTGTCGTCGGACAGCTTCAAGTGCTTTGTTTAGTCATGCTGAATAATCTGCACATAGTCTGACGCTTCCATTGGGCTTCTTACCAATTACTAATTGTGCTATCTAGTCAGAAAAATTCACTGGTTCTATGATTCCACTTCTTTACAGGCGCTCCAATTCCTGTTCAACAATAGGTAGCGCTGCGTAAGATATCGGACGTTTTGGTCTAAAAACTGCCGAGGCTCCCAGCTTTAGGATTAGTAGTGCTTTTGCCTTCTTGAAACACCCTAATTCTTCCGTGAACATTTGACTATGTTTCTTCAAAATAGCGTTCCTCAAGTTCTCCACTGGTTCGTCAGTTCTCACGCGACTGTAAATATGAATAATGGGATGGTTTGCTAACTGTAGCTTTTCTATTAATTCTAGACCCAGCAAATCTAGTCCTGGACGTTCTGTGAGGTTTGATGTTGCTTTTGTCTTTGCATTTTCTTTTGAAATAGTACAGCATACCTCTCCAGCAATATTTAATTTCCCACCAGATGCACTGTGTGATGCTATTTTGCACTTTTTTCTAAAATCATTTGAAATAATTGGATTTAAATTCAGTCATTATTATTACTTTTTTCCCTTCCTTTTTTATATCTCAGTCAACACATATATCAGTCTTACCATTCGAACTGCTTTTGAGAATAATTCGATGGACTATTGGCAGCCATCTAAATATACGTGTTCTAGGTGTTTTATCTTGTGTAAGTTTTTGAAAAGTCTATTTTCATCATTGTAAAAATATCACTTAAGCTTTCTAGGGATTCGCTGAATAATTGTTTTTTTTTCACTTTTGTTTCAATTGTTCTTCTTCATAACAGACTGACTTCAGCTACAAATCAGAAGGCATTGAATAACTGTCTTGTCTAGCTTTTAGGGTTCTCGTCGCTAATTTCCTATAGTCCTAAACAGGACAAACACGGTACCACTGGGTCATTGTTATATCTTGTGAATGTTTTCTAAAATCCCCGTCGTCAGTTGTTATATCTAGAAGGTTGTTACTTGATATACCGCGTATAACTGAGCACTAGAACGCCAAAACCCTTCCAAGTCGCAAGGAGAAAACAGAAGACTAGTGAAAGGAATATTATTCCAAACAGTGTCAATTATGGTACAAATTGTCAGGTATTTATAGCACCAAATGGTGCTGGTCAACCGAATGCCAGGAAGCATTCTCAAAACTAAAGCAGCTCCTATCATCAGACCTTCTGCTTACACATTATGACCCAGATCTTCCAATTATAGTCGCGGCAGATGCGTCAAATTATGGAATCGGAGCAGTAATTTCACATACCTACTCTGACGGGTCTGAGAAGGCAGTCACCCATGCTTCAAGATCGCTGACTATGACTTGAAAAAACTACAGTCAGATCGAGAAAGAAGCTCTCTCCATCATATTCACTGTAAAAAAGTTCCACAAGATGCTGTTTGGCAGACAGTTCACCTTACTTACAGACCATAAACCGCTACTGACAGTTTTTGGATCTAAAAAAGCTATCCCTGTATATACAGCAAACCGTCTACAACGATGAGCAACTACGCTACTGGGTTATGATTTCAAGATAAAGTACCAACCGACTTCGGACAGGCAGGTGCCCTCTCAAGATTGATTGGTTCGCATGCAAAACAAGAAGAGGACGTGCTTGTAGCTGCCATAGAAGTCTTCGACACCAAGTCATTAATCAGTTTCACAGCGGGCACCCGGGGATAAGTAAAATGAAATCACTAGCTCGCAGCTATGAATACTGGCCGTCAATGGACCGTGGTATAGAACAAAAATGTCGCAGTTGTTGGTCCTGTCTAGAGGCTACGAAGAATCCAATGAAAACTAAACCAAAACCGGACGGGCCTTGGCAAAGAATACACGCTGATTTCGCAGGATCAATACAAGGCAGAAACTACTTAGTTGTTGTCGATGCTTTTACAAAATGGCCAGAAGTATGTGATATGCCGAAAACGACATCAGAGAGTACAATAAGAAGATTGTCAGGATTGTTTGCTTGTTTTGGGGTTCCAGAGATCTTAGTGACCGACAACGGCACTCAGTTTATGTCATCCGCTTTCAAACTCTTTTGCAGTGAAAATGGCATATCGCATCTACAATCTCCTCCGTACCATCCTCAGTCGAATGGTCAAGCAGAAAGATTGGTGGATACAATAAAAAGAGCTCTGGTCAAAGGGAGAGATGAGGGTGTGCTGTGTGCTACTTATGTAGATATAAGTAGCATATGACGCGAGTTAGGAACGTAATGTCTGGCAGCAGAAGATGGGGGAAGATCAAGAAAGGAAGAGCGGGAACACAGTGGAATTTGTATGGAAACTCATGAACAATGAAAGGACAGACAATCGATTGATGTTTGCAACAGGAACAGTCAAGTTTGACATGATGGATTGTTATTTTGCAAATTAACGATTCACTATATGATTGTTAGATTTTAATAACTAGTTCTGTAATTTGTTGTCAAATGCATTTGTGCCCCCAAATGCCCTGATACGGCCGAGAGAGAGTCCGCTCACCCTCTCAAAATGCTCTCACATGGCTACGCGTACATAGCCTCTGCCAGGGAAGTCCTACTCACTGCCTTCACGTGGCGGGAGTGTTGTTTACGAAAATGAGAGGACGAAAAGCGAATGTCCGGCGCTTTAACCGGATCCCAAACCAATGGTGCACATGGGTTCCAGTATCCTGAAGGAACAAATGACGTGTGAACCAATCGTTGGTCACCGGCTACCATGGGACTGCATCTCCTTACGATGCTCCACTGCCTTGTGAGTCAGACATTCAGGCCGAAGGCTCGGGGTGTGTCCCCTAAGAAAACCACCTGCTTCGGTTTGGGCCCTCGTGCAGTATCACAGCCCTCACACTTATCAAATGAGATATGTGTGGCGCATATGTATTTGGTGCTTCCTTGTACCAATATCTATGTGTTGAAATAAAAATAAAATATATTAACATTCGATTGTTCCCACTGGTGTTCTTGTTCACTGCAAGGATATCCCAGAACAAGTGTTCAGTAAGTTCCTAATGTCTTATAGAGTTACCCCTAATCCGGCAGTACCATAAGGAAAGTTACCAGCCATGTGTATGTTCGGAAGGAAAATTCGGACAGTCTTCAACAGTATGTTGCCCTCCAGAAAGATAAATAAACCCACGAATGAGTATATCGTTCGGTGACTCGTAGCTTCCAGGTGGGTGAAAGGGTACTTGTCAAATCGTATCAAGGTAATAGGAAGTGGAAACCAGGTGTCATAGAACGTTGAAGCGGAAGTGTACTGTATCTATTCCGGAAAGGTGTCGGAAAATGCATAAGACACATAAATCAAATGCAAAGTGACAGCACTACAGTGTTCCCAGAAAGCCGACTCCCATTTCAATCGCTCGTGGATTCACCTCAGAAAAGCCATCATGAGCGCAAACATGGAAGAGACAAACGGCGCAAAGGAAAAGTTGTACAACCCTCGAGAGTGATGGACCGTAAGAGGAATGCGGCCACCAAGTTCCAGGTGGATCCGAGAAAGAAGTCTTACACAACGGACCTTAAAGGGGGGTGACGACGGACCACGGGTAAACTCGAGGAAGCTGTAAGAGGCTCGGAATTAGCCGAAGATATTCCTTCCAATCACCTTTCGGAAGAATATTCTAGAATTTCTACGTGTAGCTTCCCGATTAGAAAAGGCTAATAACCCCCTGTATGTGGATTGGAGGACTGTAATGATGATTTCATTCTAATTATTAATCAAATGAGTGTAAAATCAATATATAAATGAGTGTATTTTCGACTAAGGTCGTCATAATCATAGTGTTTTGGGGCTAATAAATCTTCACTTATACCAGTCTTGTGTTCTTACTTTTGCGTCGTGGGGATTGTGGAAATCCCTTCGTTCCGAGTATAAGTGATCAGCGATTCCGACATAACAATCAGCGACGACCAGATACAAAAAGTAGCATTCCATTCACAAGTTATAACAGTCATAATTTGTGGTTCACATATTTTATTTATGTTGATATGTAATATCTCATTACTATCATTCAATAACATCGGTGACGTCTGTCTCATGGTTGAAATCCGCGAGTCACAGCTTCCCACCAAAACTTTGCGAATTCCCCCCCGAAATTAGTCACTAGTGAGGCACGGTGCGCATTCGTTCCAAGTCCTACATTGTTTTTGACTGACTGTTTCTATCGTTTTGCAACTGGAGCATGACTACCGTAGCTTATTCATGATTACGTGCAGTCGAATAATAGTACAGGAAGTTCGCAGTAGTTAATCTTTAAATAGAGGTATGGAAAATACCCGGAAATATAGTAGCAATGATTGTGTCCTTGTTATCACACTATTGTTATTTTTTTTCTACCAAAGAGGTGTTATATACTATAATAGAGTATTAAATAACTAAAGACAAACATCTAAAATTCATCCTTTCTGGTCTTAGTATTTGTTAACACCCATTATTTATGTATGCTTTTAAAACCTAAGATTTTATATGAAAATTAAATCTTTAACATCTCAGAAATATAAGTACCCAGCTATTCAGAGTGGGATATCACTGTTTTCTTTTTTAAACCCGTTTTATTCAATGAGCCACCTATTGTCCTAACTCCTGCATAGTAACGTCTTCAGCAAAATAATTGTAGGTGGAAATCGGAAAAAGCATAAGATTTTTAAATTTTACAGACTGCTCTTACTAATAGATACCGTAAAGAACGATATTTAATTTTAGATTTCTGATTATCTACGGATTAATAGCTTAATTATTAGTTGGACCATTTGACTTCCATCTACTGAATCACAAACTTTAATTCTAGTCTACCTAACACTTGGAATATGGTTCAAAACTAAGTACATAAACGTATACTTGTTAAAATAAGTTTTTTTTTGCTTTTTGGAATCTCCAATGATCTATCAATAGATTGAAATCATAGATTTAAAGAATTAAAAGATAGACTGCATGCATTTTTCAGGAAATCATAAATAAATAATTGTTTTAGACTACCGAAATAATTATAATTTCATAACTGAGAAAATAAATGTTCAATCAAGCAAATATATACGAATGTTTCAATGTTACTCCTCACCCTAATATTCGTTAACAAGGTTACCAGTGAACTGTTTGCTTATGCCTTACCTGTCTCAGTTTGTGGGTATATTTAACATTGAAATTAAATAAAGTACCTTCATGAAAAAAATGTGCATATCTTGGGGCTGTCTTTTGTCACAAAATAACTGAAGTCATGAACGAAATGAGCCACATCTTAGTGGTTTTAAGATATTTTCCTGACAAATCCTATGATTTGCATCTTGCAGCCTGCTTAGGATTCTGAGCAATCTGCTTTCCATTTTAGTATATATTACAAGAAACTAACTGATTGATTAGGTGTGTTAATCGTCTAATGTACTCAAACGCTCTTATCAAAAGTTTATAACACATGTTTAAGATAATTACTTCTAAATTCAAACAGAATCATCAAAATAGCTTGTGAATTTTTCTCTTTATATGCTCTTCGGAGAAACAATAAGTGATTGCACTGAAACTCATGCATTAAGTTTGTTGTATGATGACAAACTATTTGGGCAGCATCATCGATGAACACGGTGGATCCGATGCAGATGTGAAGGCACGGATTGGCAAAGCAAGAGCAGCATATTTACAACTGAAGAATATCTGGAACTCAAAACAATTGGCAAACAACACAAAGGTCAGA